CCCCCCCCCCGCCGGGCCCCCCCCCCCCCCCCCCCCCCCCATTTGGACTCTGCCCTCCAGCAGCCATCAAGACTGACCCGGATGGCCAAGGGCTTCCCCACAACAGCTGAAGGGACCTTCCCCCAGCCTGCTCCGGGGGGGTCAAGGCACCCTTCCCACCTGGAGAGCCTTGGGGGAAAGATGCTGGTGTAGAAGAGGGAGGCCCAGCCTCTGCCCCCCTTCCCCCACAGACGTTGCCTGGGGATTGGGACCAGGGCTCCTCTCTCGGTTGTTGTGGGAGCCCTGCGTGTGCCGCCTGGGGTCCCCAGAAGGAAGAGGAGCCACAAGGGCCTCCTCCAAGGCACCCAGGCCGATTGGGTCGGGGTGAGGGAGGGGAGGGGAGGGGCTGCTAGAGGCAGTGCAGCAAGTGTAGGGCGTATTGCACCCGCTCACACAGGGGCAGTGTCCAGCCCTGCCCTGCCAGGGTGCCCAGAGGGAAGGTGGTGCTGTAACGTTGGCAGTCCACGAAGGTCAAGAGGTCCTCTCCCTCGGCCGGGCGACTGAACACAATCTTGGTGCAGTCCTGGTAGAAATTCACCTGGGAGACACAAGGGATGGTGAGCAGATGTGCTGGCAGAATTGGGCAAGAGGAAGCTGGCACCGTCCTCCACCTGGGAGGGGAGGAGGCCTCGTCTCCCTGCTGGGGTTGTAGTTTTACCTCCTCCCCCTCTTGGGTTTGCACATTATAAATCAGCAAAATGGGGGGAGGGGCTGCCGTGTTTGGCTCCTTGGCTCTGTTCTGCCACCATTCCGGCTCCCTGCACTCACAAAGACGGAATCCCAGGAATTGGGAGGTTGGGACTGACATAAGGCCACGTCCAGAAGCCAAAAGCAATGCCGGCCACCCCCAGCGGCCCTTCTCCCTCCCATTAATCCAGCAGAGGCTCAGGGAAAGGAGCCGTGGAGACGGTGCACACCCCGAGAAGCGGCTGCTGCTGCTGCTGCTGTGCATCCCCCTGACCCCCATAGCCCCCCATCCCTTCTGGCTTCAGCAAGGCCCCCCAGCCGCCTCAGTTGCTCTCCGTGTTTTCCGTTGCACCGTTTCTGCCTTTGCTCTTTTCAGCCTGTTTGATGGCTGCTGGGGGGGGCGGGGTGTCTGAGGGTCGGCCCTTTGCTTGCTCCAATGCTTGTGCCCGAGGATTGTTCCAGCAGGGTTGGGGTTAGCGCTGGTGTGGCTGCTTAGGGCCCTTTGCTGGTCTTTGCAGGCCCCAACCTGCCTCTGCTCTCTGGGCGGTCAGAGCCGGCCCAGGATTTCCTCAGCCCTCCCTGCCCGAGGGGGTGGAAAGGGCTGGCCCACTGCAGCTGGAGGGTGCTGTCACTGAAGAGCACCAGGAGGGCTTTGTCCGGCTTTGCAAAGCGCAGGAGGGGAGGGTTCCTGCCTGCTCTGCCCGGGCTGGTCTGGCATGGGCTCCCCTGGCAAGAGAGGCAGGGTCAGCAGGAGGCCGACACGGGGGGGGGGGGGGGCCCCCGCCCCCCCCTCCCCGCTGCCCCCCCTTCCTCCCCCCCCCTTCCTGGCTTCTCTCCTCCTGCAGCCACCTCTGCGTGTACTGGGGGAAGAGGTGTCCAAGCAAAGTGGCACCTCTTGCCACCCAAAGGACTCGGCCACCTCCACCTCACGGCAGCAGCAGATGCGCCTGAGGAGGGAACCAGAGGGGGCTTTGCCAAAATGCAGGGCAGGCACCTGAAACGAAGGTGCTGAGCCGACAGGGCCAGGCCAGGCCTCTTAACCACCCGGAGGTCCCCTTCTCTCCAGGGTCACAACTGAGCCCATCCTGCCCCCCCCCCCCAGGAGGCTTGGGCCTCTTTGCCCCCACCCAAGTCAGGCGCAGCAGGGTTGTGTGTGACTCCCTAAAGGGGCACTCACTGATGCTGGGGGCAAAAGGCCACATGGTGGGTCCCATCGGGGAGTAGCGCTGCAGCAGAGCCATTGGAGAGCAGGTAGCCAAACCCTTACTTATTGGAGTAGTCTACCCACTGGGTGGCCATGTGGGCAGGACTGGCACCGTGCAGGCCTTCGGGCAGTTCTTCCACTGCAGAGAGAGGTGCCCGGCTCAGCCCATACGGGAGGGAGGCGCAGCAACCCCTGCTCATCCCCCCGGCCCTGTCGTGTTTCCAGTCCTCAGTGCAGGAGTCTATTGTGGAACAAGAAAATGCCCACGGGGAGGCTCTGTGCCAAGGAGGGCGCCGGAGCTCCTCACCCAGCCACCCAGCTTCCTGGATGGGCAGGATTCACTTCTGGATCTATGTAATACGAAATGACCCCGGCTCTCCACAGATAACAGCCCAGGAGGCTAAGAGCCTCTCCTGCCACTCGGAGCCCAGGCAAAGCTGGGACCTCCGGGGAGGAAAAGGGCCTGGGAAAGGGGCCTCCCCCAGGACGGCCAGAGCGTGGCACGGAAGGGAGGGGAGCTGGCACAATATGGCTAGAGGGGCCGAAGCCGCCCGGGCAGGAGGAGCTCCTGGCCTTTGAGTCAGAAGGAGGTGCAGCCCAGGGTGGCAGGAGAGGGGACCAAACCCCAGCAGAAGGCGAGGCAGATCCCAGGGAGACTGTGGGGCAGGCGGGCAGGCAGCAGCCTTACCCAGGGGGGTCACCTGCAAGCAGCAGCACAGCCGTCGGTCTATGCTCTCCGGCACTCTGCCAGGGCCCCAGTCGGCCTCTGCCAGGAAAGGAGGGAGGGAGGGAGGGAGGGAAGAGAAACAGGGGTGGAGGCCTTTGCTTCCCCTCACGTGCCCGCTGCCCTCCCTGCACCTCCACTCACCTTCGGGCAGCCGGCTGCGCAGGGAGCCTCTCCGGAGCAAGAGGGGAGGGAAGCAGCTGGGCTCCTCCATGGGGCCCCTGCTCCCCTCTCGGGCTTCCTTCGGGGCCATGGGGGGGGGGAGCAATGCGAAAGCAACCCGTGAACCCCACAAAGCAGGGATGCCGAAGCTAGAAGCCGCCCCCCCAAAGGTGACCTTTGGGAGCAGCCCTTCCCTGGACCCCCTGCCAAGGCCAGAGCCAGTGGGGGAGCCGGTGCCATGCTCGGAGGAGCCAGGCGGGCTCCAGGGCAGACACTCTCACGAGAGCCCCTGGCAAAGGCTGCCACGGAAAGGATGCCTGCTCTTATTCCCATTGGGCAGATGGGAAGACTGAGGGAAAGGCAGAGGGGAGGGGTGACCAGAATGAGAGGGAAGCCAAGTCAGCTGCATCAAATCAATCCACACGCCATCGGGTGAGGAAAGACGGGCAAGTGGTACCACGATCCCAGCAAAGTGGGAAGGACTGGTTTCAACTGGGAAAAGGACCCCCAATCTGCGTGACTCCCTGGCTCCCCATTAATGCCCAGACTGTGAGTGTCGCCTGAATCATCATCAGGACAATGAGCCCCACAAAGCCCCACGCTGGGCGACCCAGATGCGGGAGGAGGGGGCTTTCTGACCAAGTGGGGAGGGGCAACAGGTCCCACTCCTTGCCGCTGTGGTATCTCCTCCTGTTTTTGGGGTGCAGGGCTCACTGGGGGGAGCAGTAGAGGGACACAATTAGATACCTTCTGTAGTACACAGAGGACTAGAAACCTACTTTGTTACCTGCCAAGGGACTGGGAGAAGGGCAGGTGCATGGGCTCCCCTCCCCACTGTCCTCCCCCCCCTCCCGAGAGCACTCACCAGCGTGGCTGGGCTGCTGACAAGGGGAGCCCCAGGAAAGGAGCCTGGCTGCTTTCTGGAAGAAGCTTCCAAACGGGTTGGCAAAAGGGAACATGGGGGCCGAGCGACAAGCGAGCGAGGGGAGCCTGGCCAGGCCGAAGTGCTGGGGAGAGAGGCCGGACGAAGTTAGGCTCCTGCCCAGGAGCCTTGAGGGGGAGGCTGGGATCGGCCCTGACTGACAGCTGGGGAGGGGCCGGTCTCTGGGTGAGGGGGTGGGGCAGCCAGGTGAGCTCAGGGGGCAGAATCCGAGGGGAGGAGATGAGACCTCGGGGGTGGGGGGGGGATTGCTAGCCCCACACTCTGCCTGGGCAGCCCAAGGACTAACCGGGGAGGGCAATGGGGGCTCAGCGGGGGTGGGGGGAGACGGTCAGATTGCAGCAGCTCACCTGCTGGAGGCTCTTGGGCGCCCCTGGAATTCACTCCCCAGAAAGCCCCCCACGGCAGGCCGGAAGGAGACCCTCCCTGGGATCCAACGCCCTCCAGGCTCCAGCTGCCTCCCAGATCTTCAAATGATGAGCGTCTGCATTCTGAATTCATCCCCTTTTAATTCTGCTGGCTTTGACTGATTGGAAGCTGCTTTAGTGCAGGTTTAGAGATGATTTGATAAGATGTAGCATTATTATTATTGTTGTTGTTGTTGCGTATCGCCTTCTGCAGAGTTCCTTGGGAGGGCCCCCGTGACCGGCTCATGGCTGTGTCCATTCGGGTGCCCAGAGACGGAGCAAAGGGGGGGTCTCTGTGGAGGAGAACTGGATCCCTTCCTGCCCCAAGAGCCCAAATCAACCCAGGAGATGCTGTCCTCCCCAGGGAGCTGCATGCCATTGGAACCCCCCCCCCCCCCCCCCCCCCCCCGGACTTCACTCCTAATAGTAGCCAGACACACCTGGGTGAAGAAGGGGTGGCTGAGCACTTCTTCTGGACTGGGCCGGCCGGATGGGTTGGGGGCCAGCAGCCTCCCAATCAGGCTCCGGGCGGCTGGGGAGAGGTGGCCCGGGAGGGGGTAGCTGCCCTCTTGGATCCTCTGGAACAGCTCCTGCTTCTGCATGACCTCGAAGGGGGGGAAGCCGGCCAGGGCGGTGTACCTGGGGAGGAACCAGGACATGCAAATGTGCCCTGAACCACCCACGGCCAGCCCCCCCCCCCCCCCGAGCAAAAGGACCCCTTCCGTTGCTGTGGGGATCACTTACATGATGCAGCCCAGGGCCCAAATGTCTGACTTGGAGGAGTGTCCCTTCTTAGCGATGATTTCGGGGGCCAGGTAATTGGGGGTCCCACAAACTACCCTGTGCAGAAGAAAGTAGAATTCAGAAATGAACATGTGGCCGCTGGCAGGGGGGTGGGGGGAAGGGCCAGGTTCCCTATGACAGAACCCACCAAGCACCTGGGGGTGTTGCTGGAGGAAGAGGAGGGGAGGAAGGTTCAATCGGGGAGGAAGGGGGGACAAACGCAGGGTCCGCAGGGCAGGTGGGGCTTGCCTGTCCTGGACGTAGGAACCTCCCTCTCTGCCCTCCCAGGATCCCGACTGGCAGGGCTGCTCAGTGGCTTCCCAGGCAGCTGTGCAGGGCAGCCATCCGACCTGGCAGATGAATCTGAGCAGGGCCGCCAGGTGGAAGAGGGTGCCCTGCCCACCGAGACCCTGCTGGACCCGAGAGGCTTCAGCCAGACACACACAGGGCCCTGCCCCCCCGCCCGCCCCCCCAATCCAGCACTCACCCTCTCCTCCAGCAGGCCTGCTCTTCCCGCATTGCCAGGCCCAGGTCGCCAATCTTCACCTGCCTGTGCTTGGTGATGAACACATTGCCTGGAAGGGGAGCGTGTGGGGCACAGAGCGGGCTGAGGACCGGCTCCCCATGGCGCCTGCAAAGGTCGTCCTGCCTGCCCTAGAGCTTCCCTGGCCCCCAGCAACCCTTGCGGATGAGGGTGGAGCTCCTGAAAAGGGCCCCCTCCCCCATGAAGGCGCTTGTCTCCCTTCGTGGCCCCTCCTGCCAGCCCAGGAGGAGGGCCCTGGGCAGGGTGGCCCCTCCAGCCTCGTGGGATGGCGCCCAGGAAAGCAAACTGGTTGCCAGGTTCAAGCAAGCTTGGAGAAATGATCCAAGTTCTTGGTCAGTTTTCTTTTTATTCTATTCGTCGTGTCCTTGACTGGATTTCACCCTGTTTTTTGGTTGTCTGAGCTTCTCGGCTGGACGGATGGCATACAAATGTGACCGATAAAGAAACGTTGGCCTCCAGCTGCACCGAATGGCCATTTCCATGGAAGAGGAGTCCGGGAGCCTGGGGCAGATTGTGGGCCACTGCCCAGCACTGGGGCTCCTCCCCCCCCCCACATTCCCCCCCCCCCCCCCCCCCCCGGTCTTTGGCACCTACTCATTTTGAGGTCACGGTGGATGATCCCTTGCTGGTGGAGGTACTGCAGGCCACTTGTGATTTGCTTCAGGTAAAAACGCACCTCCGGTTCCATCAGCGTCCCCCGGACCTTCAGAATGTGGGCCAGGGACTAGAAGGAAGAGAGGGGCTGGGGAGGAGGGGGCTCACGCAAGGAGCGGATGGACAGAAAGGTTCTGTGCCTTGGACAACCCTGTCCTATCAAAGCTTCTGACCAGGTCCCAGCGGGGCCGTTTCCCTGATCTCAGGCCGTGTCCTGCTTTCACGCTCCTTGGATGCTTCTTTATCCTGACCTCTCTGGCTTCTTGCGAGGATATGAAACAGCGCAAGCAAACCCTCTAGAAACTGCCCAGGCTGGCAGTCTGCTCCTCCCTCTGGGAGCTTCTGCTTAACTTCCCCATTAAATATTCCCATGAGAGAGAGAGAGAAAATGGCTCCCTCCCTCTCTCACCTTCCTACTGCAGTATTCCAGCACCAGGTAGATGTTCTCCTGGTCAGCGAAATGTCGGTGGAACCGCACAATGTTCCTGTGCTGGAGCTGGCTGTGCAGCTCGATCTCGCGTTGAACCTGCAAAGAGTGAAGCCACGTCAAAAGCGTAAGGCGTTTCTAGAGGTTTCAAGCACACACACACACATGTGCAAGAGGGAGAGAGAAGAAATGCTAGAATCAGCTGAAACTCGGCACACCTGGGGAGGAGACCAAAGAAGATGTCCAAGGTCGGTACCCGAATCAAGAAAGGAACAGCCATGCAGCCGCGGGAAGAGGGAGGGGAGGCAGAGAGCCACCGAGCCCAGATCCTCCCTCTGAGACCACTTAGCCCCACTCACCCGCCCGAAAGGAAGCTGGCTCTGTGGGAGCCCTTCTCCCTGCCTTCAGCACTTGGCCGGGCGGTGGGTCCTCTGCCCCGGCCCCATCCCTTCATCCCGGGGGCTTGCCCAGTTGGGAAAGCATTTGGGGGCACCACCCACCTCCCATCTACAGCCCACTCCAGAACTTTTATTGCCGCTCAGTGAACAGAAGATCCCACACCTGGCAAAGCCAGAAACTCTTCCGCAGAACTGAAGGTGGTTGAAGAGGGGAAGGACTTGTGTGCACAGGCCTTGCCTACAGGAGACGGTGGGGGGAGCCAGTGCCCCCACCTGACCGTCTCTTAGTCGGTGGCCTTCAGCTCCTGTCTGGGCACCCCAATTCAGTTGCTCCCCCCCCCACCAATCCAGAGACAGCCTAGCCCAGGGAGCTTGCAGCCAGGGGCGGCAGATTCCTTCATTCATTTACTTGCCGTCCCCTCCCCTATAAGTGGACTTAGATAAGGTGGGGTTGGCTCTCCCTCTGTGGGAGTTGATCTCCCAGGAGAGGAATCTGGCAGAAGACCACCAAGCCCCCTCACTCTAATCCCATTTACCTTTCCTCGGTTTCCCAGCCTTGCGGCTCGCTGTAGAGAGAGCACCTTCACGGCATAGACTCTGTTGGTGGATGTGTCGGTAAATTTGTAGCATTGTCCGAATGCTCCCTGGGGGGGGGGGGGGGGGCAGGGGGGGGGTGTCAAGTCAGAAGGAGCCTCTGCCGCCCCCTTCCCAGACCACTTGGGTTGCTCTGCGTCTGAAGAGAAGCCCTTTGTTCACCCTGCCCCCCAATCGCCACCAGCCTTTAGCCTATCACAGGGCTGCAACGGGGTTTTGGCCAGCCTCTCCAGTCCATGGGAAAGCGAGGAAGAAATGACCACTGATGGGTCAGTTGCACTCCGCAAAGTCGGAGCCAGCTCCGCCCGAAGGATGGCAGCCCCCTGGGACAAGGCGGGCACTCCTTGAAGGCGGAGGAGGAGACGCCCCCCCCCTCCCGCCCTCGACACCGCTAGCAAGCAGGTCTTGGCGTCGCTCGGGACCCCCGGGGCACGCAGGAAAGGCGGGTCGAGCGGAGGAGCCCAGCGGCTCCACTCTGTCTTCGGGCACGTCTGGTCGCCCGCGGCTCCCGCCTGTGACCTTGGCTCGCTCGTCGTGAGACCGACCGGCAATCGCCCGCCGCCGTCGCGGGGCGAAACTTTGAAAGGATCCGCAGCGCTTCACGGGGCCCGCTCCGGACAGCTTGCCGAATCTAGCCTTCAGGGCGAAGGTGCGTTACCTGCCCCAAAAGCGGTCCCCGCTTGTAAAGCGTCCCGCTGCCGGGATCCTCCACGAAGTATTTCAAGGTGTCCCCCTCGGCTCTCTTCCGGGCAGCGGCAGCAGCGGCAGCCAGACTCATCCCGGCCTCGGCCCCGTAGCCTCCGGCTCCCCTCCCTCCTTCCCTCCAGCTGCTCCCCGCGCGTCTGGCCAGCCAGGAGCGCGTGCCAGAGCTCTTATCCGGGGAGTGGGGGTGGGAGGCAGGGCAGAAGGGAGGCGCCTCTTGCCAGCTGGAGAGACCCGCCCGACGAGTCTGGGGGTCCCCGGGGTGGGGAGCGGTCCTCGGTCTCCCCTTCCCCTTCTGACTGTCGGAACGGGGGTGGGCAGGCTAGATTTGGAAGAGGACTTTTACTCCGGCGTCGGTCCTGCCGTCCCAAGAAGCCCGCTCTCTCGCTCAGCCGAGGCTTGCAAGGGGACGGCCGAGTTCCAATCAAAAGCTACTTTCGGCTGAGTCGGAGGGCTCCAGCTGAAGTTCCGGCGCGCTGGCCTCTTCCTGACGCAGACGGTGGCTCTTTGGAGGGGGGGGCAGCGGCCCACCCCCACCTGGCCTGCACCATCCCAGGGCAGAGAGAGCTGCCTTCGCGCCCGGTTAATGGCCAAGCAGGACTTAGGGCGGACCAGTTGCCCTCCGAAGACCGGCACCGCCGCTGGATAACGGAGCGCCGCCCAGCGCAAAGGAACGCAGCTGGCTTCAGAATAGGTTGAAACCCCCCCCCCTCTTCTTGGGGCAGCCCCCTCGGACATGAGAAGGCGGCTGTCGTGTCCCCAGCACTTTCCTCTCTTAGACTAGACAATTTCTGCCGCTGCTTTAGCCGCCAGTCCCTTAATCCTCTCTGTTGCTCTTCCTTTCTCAGCCTTGAACTTGGGGGAGGCCAGGAACTGCTCTGGGGCGGCTTCTGTAGGCTCCATGCAGAGTAGGGGCACCTGCAGACTCGACCTACCCAGAGATGCCATCCACTTGGGGTGATTCCCCCCCCCCCCCCCCGGGGGGGGGGGGGGAAAAAAAGGGGGGGGGGGCTGCCCAGGATCCTCTCACCGCAGTGCAGGAGAAAAGTAGATTCCACTCATGGAGCCTCCCAGGATCCCTCTGCCCCAGAACGAAGGGTGGGGGTGGGGTGAGCTTCCAGCATCCTATGGAGTGACAGGCACTCTCACCTGTCCACCACTTGCCACAAGAGTTCAGATAAAAACGTAAAACCTTTATTTAAGTGTTGTACAAAATGTTTCCAGTCCAAAAAATGTATAAACTGCTGAAAGACAGAGCATGCATATCCATAAGAACACAAGAACAACACGAGCACTGAGGTCATTTCCCCCCACCCCCCACCCCAAGACATGATGCACCGGCCAACATGAACGCTGCGCCCCACCCCCCTGAATGGATCCTTTCAGCCGTTCCCATTTTGGGAAACAAAACTCCCCAGTTAAAAAAAAAAGTCACACCGCTATAAAAATAGACTTCTAATAATAAGGAAATGGGTTTTGTATCCAGTCAATGCTCACCTTGCCACAAGGAATTTCAGAAAGCACATTGCTTGCAAAACGTAGTGTGAGCCTGCAGGGCTGGCCAAGGGCCCCCAGCACTCCTCCCTGCAGGGAAAGTGCCCCCCCCCCTGGGGAGGGGACGGGGGGGGGACGTTCAGGGCAGTGGGGAGGAAGGGAAAAGGCTGGAGAGGAGCCAGGCCGTACGCCCCCCCCCCCCCCCCCCCCCTTACTATTCATGCTGGCCATCTGGGCTAGAGGATTTGCTGAGGAAAAGCTGTAGCTGTCAAGGGATAAAACTGAGGGGGGAGGGGGGCAAAGAGCCCCCCCTCCAATATCCAGTGTTCTGTAATAATTTTCAAGATTCACTAAACCTAGTATTTAACCCTAATGTTAAGATTTATCAATAACTATGTGTAAACATGGACTTAAAATATATTTAAAGTCACATTTTGTATAACGTGTAAAGCAAGGTGTATTTCCAGAGCAAACCAGCCAAACCACCTCACAACCAAACACTGGTCAGGCGCTAAATGGATCTCCCAGCTAACCCTGGTTGCAACACATACAGCCCTGGCAGCAATTCCAGGGAGCAGCGCAACCCCCCCCCCCCCCGCCCCGGGAAGACCAAGGCGATCCAAATATGCCCCCACCACCAAAAGAATCTGCACCTCCATGATGTGTCTCCACTATTAGCCCTCACAAACTGTGAGGAAGAGGCACATATGTGCACACCTGTGTGGGTGAAGGAAGGCAGGCAGGTCAATGGGAGAGGGTGCCCTTCGAACCCTCCCCCTCTAGAAGCTTATTGGGTCAACGGGTGACCCACCCAGCCTCTCCTCCGTGCTGGGAGGGCAGCCCCACTGAAAGGTATGGGCGGCAGCAGATGATGCACCGGGAGGCCAGAGGGTCTGCAGCCAAGCCCCCCCCCCCCCCGTCCCCCCCCCCCCTCATTCTGAGCCACAGGAAGTATGGCTGTGGCCCATCCCGCCTCCCTCCTGCCTCCCGAGCGGATTATTATTATTATTTGTGTGTGTAAGAGAGAGAATAGAGAAGAATTCACGCAACCTGATCCCTTATCAAGCCCCCTTTTCTGAGCTGTGGCACTCGTGGCTCCACAGAAGGAGGCTCACAGCTTCTACATCTAAAACACTTTTACATTAATTCACATTGGCTATTAACACATCGTGCAGCATGGAAACGTCTCTGTAATGTTTGCTGCTTATAAACATTATTTCTGATTTCCTAGTCACAATCCAGCTACAGGATTGCTGTTTTTTTCCTGTGTAAAATATTTCACACCTTACTGCTGCCAAATTGACCCTCGCACTGGAGCTAAAGCCACAGAAAGGCCACTGAACTAGTGAGGGGACTTGGGTCAGACGCCCCCTTGCGCGCTATGAATTTGGGGGTCTTCCCACTCTTCGATTTCAGAGCGAGACCCTCAACAGCAGCCGGCCTGCCCAGGGGGCCCCATCAGCAAGGCAAGTCCGGTCCCCAGGACAGAGGGGCCAAGGTGTCCAAGGGCAGAGGCTGTCGGAGGGGATGGACTGGCGACCAACCCTCGGGAATGTCGCTCACTGAAATTCTCAAGACTTTCTTTTTCCCCATTCAAATTTGTCTTTTTTAAGAATAAAATAAAATAAAATGAAGAACCAAGCCCAGCGTGTTTCAAGGCGAGTGTTCGAAGAGGAAGATCAGAGCTAAACACAAACGTGAGCTGACTAAAATTGGGACATGGTCACCCCGAGGGCTGGGAACCCCAGCTGGAATGGCCACTCCAGAGTTCATCCCCTCCTACAAAAAACCGGCAAGATCGGATTTCGACGATCTGTCAGCAAATGACCAGCTCCGGTCACGGTTCTTTCCTTCCCAGCCCCTAAGAAAGGCCAGGCCCACTTCCTGAGGGGGAAGCCGCCCAGCTCTTGGCAGGCCGGCGCGTTTCATGCCGGAGCCCCTGCGGATTCCACCAGGCGGCCAGGTGGGTCCCTTCAAGTGGCCCTTTGCTGCCCCCGTCCTGGAGGGCATCCAGAGGTGTGACCCACTCCCCCAGGTCCCCCTGCCACAGCTCTGGCTCACCCGGTCCCAAGCGGGATTCTCCACAGGAAGCCGGCCGCAGATGCTCAGGCCGCACACGTCCCCCACCCCCCCCCCCCCCCGGCCAGAGTCCAGCCGGTCCCTCCCTGCTGCTGCTGCTGCCGCCGCTTCTCGCTCTGCGCTTTGTTCGGCCTGGCCCCAAGGGGCAAAGGGGTCCGGATCCAGGAAGCCCAGAGTTCGGAATCGCTCTTCTTCCAAGGTGGAATCCAGCCCCCCCCCCCCCCCCCCCCTCGGCGCGGGACAAAAAAGCCCGGGCAGGAGCACCACAGGCAACCTGGGCAGCCGCCTGCTCTTTAAAACTCGGTTCAGCTCAAAATGAAAACAAGCCAGAGGAGACTTAGACAAACCGAGTTTCCCAGAAATGCAGGCCAAAGGGAGGGGGGGGGTGTAGGAGGGGAAGGGGGGGCAGATGAAGGGCTCTTCCTTTCACATGAGGGCGCATCCTCTAGAGGTGGTCCTGGGGTCCCCCTGGGAGAAGAGGAAAGGCAGCGTGAAGAGAGGGGGCTGGGTGGGGCCCCGAGGACCAGAAAGGAGGGGGCACCTCCCTTCTGCCCAGCAGTGGCTCAGCCTGGCCCCCGCTTGCCGCCCCACAGGTGAGCTGCTTCCCTCAGCCGAGGGGAGAGAGGGAGGGAGGGAGGGGGCTGGGGAGAAGCCGCTTCCGGTGGCTACCTGCTGGTGGAAGAGATCTTCCTCCCCAAACTCAGCCTCCTCCTCCTCCTCCTCCTCCCCGTTTTCCTGCAGCCCCGTTGCAAGCTGGGTCAGACTCCGCACCGCCACTTCCTAGCAGGGAGAGGAGGAAGGGCACCGCCCAAAGGAGAAGCCTCAGGATGAGGGCAATTAAGACCAGGGATGCAAGACCCCCCCCCCCACACACACACACTGGGGGAGGGAAGGGAGGGGTCTTTTCAGCCAGCCCCGCCCCTCAAGCCCCCTCCCCTGAACAGGCCAGTCTCTTCCTGCTAGCACAAGCAACGTGGTGTGTGTGTGCGTGTGAGGAGCCATACCTCCCAGTGCAGATTGGACCAGGGTCCCCTGGGATCGTGCGCCTGGCAGGGGATCCTGCACATCTCCTTCCTTGGCCTGCCCCCCACCGCGCCCCCTTGCCCAGCATACCTCTCCCTCAGAGTTCACCAGGCACGTGTGGATGTGGTCCCCGCTGCCCCAGCTGCCCTGGTTCTTCCAGACCAGCACCGAGGGGGGGCTGTGTGCCACCCCAGCCTCAGAGGCCCAGATCTAGGAAGACAAACAGGCTTGGCCCTTGCCCAGGTCTCCCACCCCAGCCAGCCCAGCACTGGGCACCCTCTTGGCATTGGGAGCCAGTGGGGTGTGTGTGTGTGTGTGTAGGAGTAGAACCGCGATCCCCAAAGAGTTGAGGGGCTGGAAAAGGCCAGGCCTGACCACCAGGAGGCGGCCTTCAGACACAGGGCAGGGCGGGGCGCTCCAGGACTTACCGTCACTGTCTGCCCAGCCCGGAGAACGTACTTGGGCGTGAACTTGTACGCA